TATAATCTCCCTTCCTTATTAAGTTCCACGTCCAGCCAGAACGACTCAGTGGTTGGGCATCAACCTATGAACCAGGAGGTCATGGTTCAATTCCCGGTCAGGGCACATGCCCAGGTTGCAGGCTCCATCCCCTGTGGGGAGTGTGCAGAAGGCAGCCAATCAATGCTTCTCTCCCATTATTTATGTTTCTCTCTCTTCCTCTCTCTTCCTCTATGAAATCAATTTAAAAAAAGAGTTCCACAAGAGAGAACACTTTTTTGGTCATTTTCATGTTATTTTCCCAGGTTCATGTGAGAATATTTAGCACCTTGAGGCTGCACAATAAATACAGTTTAATAAACAGATGAATGATTTTTCATGTGAAGAGGGTTCGCTTGTGCACTGCGTGTCTGTGAGTAGAATGAGTGTTTCCATGGTAATATCTGAGAAAATAATTATTGAAATATTTGTCACTGCCAAATGAAGTGAATTACAACCACGATTTTAAAATTCTGTGAATATCCATTACATGCTAAGCACTGGCTAGATACCTATCTAGTAATAAAGGTCATTCTCCTTTTTTTTGGGAGGGAGGGTACCTGTGATATTCCTATGAAAAATTAACTTTATATACTGCAGTATTGATCAGAGAAAGAAGAGATTAAAAGAGGTAAATCAGAATATTTTCTTAACCCAGACATAATTAACTTGATTCCAAATAGTACATCTCAACTTCTACAGCAGGTGATGAAGCTTAAATTAGCCTTCACTAGATTTATTTATGGTAACAGGGAAGCTCCTTCCTGGAGGAAAAAGAACTGAAGCAGTCTGTCGCCTAACGGGTTCTCCAACAATAAGTATTCTCTGAGACTCAATGCGAGACCTCGATTCACTCCTAGAAATACAACGTTTTTGTTCAGTCCCTGTGTCAATGCACCATCTGGGACAAATTACCCCAATTCTGTCTGTATGAGATACAAGAGGCTGGTATTGCCAATAAAATCCTAGAAAGCTCGTATGAGAAGACCAAGATGGAGAAGAGAATGATGGAAGGCCCTCTGGCCAACACTGGCCACTGAAGTTCTGTTTCTCTCACATGGGGTTCCGAGTGTGGTGTCCTCGGGCAGAATGAGGGGAGATGATGGTTTCTACACATCTGTTGCCTGCTCCTCCACCCGTCCAGCCACATTACCATTCTCTCCAGACAGAATCGGGGTGATTCCCTGCTGACTCCTGGAATACTTGATAGATGTTTCCTGTCTCTGGTAGAGGTCTTGTCATTAAGATAGCTCCATTTCCTTTCTCTCTTCAGACTCTTTCTGACTTCAGGATTTGAGGTATTGTCATGCAATTTGATCATTTCTAATTTTATTATGTGTTTGCCATAGAGAAAACTCCATGAGGGAAAAAGACTGATATGTAGGGCATTAGCCTAGTGGCATTAGTTTGCCACTAGATCCCCAGTACCAACTCAAGTCATGGCATATAGTTAGTGCTCGATTCATATTGACTGGCTGTCCAAAACCTACCATCCTATTAGACAAAAGAAATATCGCATATATTTTGCTTTCTAATTTTGAAATTAGAGATTTCAAGTAAGTGGAGAGCGTATTTTTATTCTTCCTGATAACTGAGCGCCAAGTAATGTGTAGACGACTCTATCATAGCATCATTAAATTAGAGATTAAATATATACACCATCTTCTATCTTTTTACTTAAGATAAATTATCTATAACTATTGGAATTAAAAGAAATGTTACTGGTAATCAGAAAATACCATTGGAATTTATATATTTACCATTTAAATAATTGTATATTGAAGATTTAAAGGAATTCTAACCAGAAGGGATTCATGCTGATTTTCTGTAATATGGAATGTGAACAATTTCTCTGTGTCACAGGGTTGCTGTTATTCTCTTAAGGGAACAAATTCAAGAAAAAGTCATCTTTCATTTCAGAATTATGAGAAGGTACTGGGGCTGATATGATTTTCAGTTCTACTTTCAAAGTGAACATCTGCCAATTTTAGCACAGATATGACATGAAATGGAAATCTACACCTAGAGAAGATGGAACTGGCTCCCTCCCTCCCTCCCTTCTTTCCTTTCCTTTCTTCTCTCTCTCTCTCTCCTTCCTTCCTTCCTTCCTTCCCTTTCCTTCCATCCTTCCTTTTCTTTCATATTTGGTATTTTGTTGATAAGTTCAATCCACTGGAAAATATTCAAGCACAAAATAATTATCTATGTTCATGTTGACATTGGTTCTGATTTTATGAGATGTTTTAAAAACCTCTTTGAGGTTCTCTAGGCCAGAAGTCTTTAGACTGGGTATTCTGAATGGCTTGCCCTTAGTTATTGCTAATGATCTCCAGTTGCCCTATCTCCCCAGAAGCTGATCCCCTCTGAATTTAGCCTTAAATCCATACCTTCCAGGCAAACCAGATTTCAAAGTCACCTGCACTCCTTACTCTGAGGCTGTTGTAAAGCAGACATCAAATGCTGAAAAATACTGAGTGACTATAACTCTAGTGCTAATTCAATGCTTGCCATTTATTTTTGATCATTTGAGAATGAACATTCTAATTTGAAAATGAGTCAGTGGTCTGTGGGGTGTGAGGAGAGATGACTGACAGTTTTATCGGTGTTGAACTTATATAAATGAACACTAGTGTAGGTAACAATGATGAATTTTTGGAAAACATTAAATATAAAAATGAGATACTCGAGCCATTGAAAGTGACTGGGAGTGATGTAATGAACCAAATATGACTTCTGACTAGCACAAAGAAATCAGGAAGTTCAGGAGGGGAATGATTGCTTGTGCATAAACCAGTCCAAAAATTATGCTGAACAGACAAAAGATCTGGTCTTTTCATGTAAAAATGAACCTTTAACAGACCTGCCTAAACACATTCATATGAGGATGAGCTGGTGTAGTGGACACACACACAACACAAACGTCTCTTCACAGAAGGAGTCATTTTGATCTGCAAAAATCATAAAACAAAGAATTAACTTTTCTCTTTTATTTTGATCTTGCGTAGGAAAGGTGATGAAACAACCTGATTTCCCCCCTGAAGATAAGAACTGCTGAGGAATCATTAAAACCTTGGAAACAGTTGAAATCCACTGGGTAAAACTCCCGATTTCTGGGGTTCCAAAGGCATGCATGTCAATGTCACAAGCGAAGGCGATGTTGGATTGCTGCAATATTGATGCTATTGACTCTCTCAACGTGTGCGATAAGTTTTGCATGAACAATGGAGATTTATTTAAATTCTGATGCATTTGACAGATTCTGTATGATTGAAAGGGACAAGCTTATAAGTCTGTGATTGGCTACATTACCCCAGCAATGATCTGCATCACACAACATAGCCTTGAGAGGGACCTGCATATATTGTGTATATTTTGATCAAACTCTCTGCCAATTCAATCCGCCAACTTCGCTAAAGACTAGTATATATGACATACATATCAGGGTGGGGTAAAAGTGGGTTTACAGTTGTGAGTATGTGAAACACTGTTTATTCATGTTATTGTATTAATTTCTATAGGAACAACTATAAATCTATTTTTCCCCCCACACTGTACATATAAACACACTCCATCCTTAAAGGATCACAAATGAAAATGTTCAAAACATGCTAGAGAGCAATTCCGCATGACAAAATTAAGAAACATTTGAACTAATATTAGAATATTATTAAAAATAGTGTAGCACTGTGAAAGGTGAATGTTTTGATTAGAACATTTATATTGTCTAGTTGCTTGAAATTAATCAGTGTTATTACAATTTCAGTTTGTGTGTGTGTGAGCGTGTGTGCGAGTGTGTGTGTGTGTGTGTGTGTGTTATTTTGGTAAACGATGCTAATAGTTCAGATATATGAGAGTAGTCTAGGAGAAAATGTCCACTGTTTTTAAAGGACGGTAACACACTGATCTTTTGTAATAAATGAAAAGTATGGAGCCACAATGCTAATCCTTTTTTTTTGGTGGGGAAAAAAAATCTGACTCTTGTCAGGTAAACTGCTCGGCAGATAGTAAGTTTAATTCCTAACACCCACATGAGGCACAAGAATAGTTGGATTAACAACTCCAGTGTCATGCTGTCAGCTGCTGTTTATTTAAATTAAAATGTCACCATCCAGAAATAAATTAGTAAGTCGAAAAATGATAAATTTCTTAAACATACAGTACTTTGGCACCTTGTTCAGATAAATCTATTACATTTGGGGTTTTTAGAACTTTACATACACTATTTCCATTTTGACATTCAGAGTATAGCAGGTTTGGTTTTGTTCTTGCTTATACTTCTCTTCCTCCAAACCTCCCTCACAAGTTCCCTTCCTTCCTACTCCCTCCCTCCCTCCCTCCTAACCTTCCCTCTTTCCTTTCTCCCTCCCCACTCCTTACCTCTCCGCTCTCTAACGCACTCCCTTTCTTAATTGTTCCTATTTATACTACATGATACAGGTAAAAAAAAATTCCATCAATACACAATTATCAGATGCTATAGTTACATGTCTGAGACCTATTGTTTATCTTATGTTAAAATGAATTAACTACATTTTTACAGATTTCAAAATTCACTTCCTACACCCTCAGACAACTGGTTGACCTGGGCCCACTATTCTGCGTTATTTCTATGTCTGACATGAGACAAGCATTCCCTCCCCATGAGCTTTCCCCTTGCTTCCTGTCATTTGAAGTTTACCCTTTTGCCCCCATCATGCCAACCCCTCCCCTGCTCTCATCCATACCCTGGGATAGTTTAAGCGAATTCTTTGGCTCTGTGGTCACAGCACAGCAGGCTGTTCCACTTCCTGAGCCAATCTGGTCCTATGTAGGGACAACCAACACTCAGAAAGAAAGACACGCCCTCTCTGTTTCCACCCGGAGTTTCTTGCCTGTGACTTTGCGGAATGAAAATAAGGCAGATGCACACTCTACCGCAGGTTAGTCAAATGTGAGACAGTCGTATACAAACATATCAGCATTAACAACATGGAGATATTTACTTGGCCGGGTTTTCCATTTTCACATAAAAATGCCTCATATTCGGATGCGAATTCAGGGGCGTTGTCATTGACATCCAGCACTTTAATAGCAACAGGTACTCGTGATATCTGACTGTGGTTCCCTATGGGAAGGAAAAGATAACATCAGCATTGAGGGTATTTCATTGTAACGTGCAACTAACTCAACGTTCTTCTTGAAAGCATGGGTGTCTGTTTCAACTCCCCCTCGTGGGGGTGGTCTCAACATGGTGGTTATGAAGTCTGACCACTCAATGAGAAAAAATAGTCAGGGCTTCACTGCTTTAAAAAAAAGTGTAAATTACTATTCCAAACACCATTTGCTGGAGCTTTGCTCTGAATCATTAAAAGGTTTCCCTGGTGAAGAAAGCTTTATTTTATTAATAAAGTCCATTAGACAAAAGAAAAAAAATCCTGCAGGCAACAAAGATTTATCTCTTTGTTTATCTTGGGTAGAATACAACCCAATGTTGTGCTATCCCTCATTTGACAGGCTATCTATGAAAGATGAACAAAAACCCAGCAGAAGGGCCAAATCAATTGTGATTGGTCCATCACAATGATTAAAAAATAATCTTAAAGATGGGGGATCATATTTTTTATGAATTTTGTTCTTTATTAAAACTTGACCTTGGGATGGTTTTGGATAAAATAAGCCCAAGTCATTTTAATATTTTCATTTTCATAAAGATTTTCATCAGTGTACACAGATAATAATCTCCTAATCTTTCCAGGTCAATCCCAATAGCAAATAATTTAATACATAATCCTTAATCCTCAAGCCCTTAAATTTAAAAAGTTACACACACACACACAGAAATCTGGTCCATTAATACATTGCTGACTTGGGCCATGTGATAATTTTTTATTTGTAGTAAATACAATATTTGACTCTGACTGTAGAATCTTTTGATGTCTTGTAAATTATGCAGAATGCACGGGGGATGGCCAATTATTTATTTGTGTTTCTGTGACACTAAATATTTATAAGCAAGCCATGAGGGGGAAAGCGTTTGACTTCTGAATATAAAGAAATCAACTTACATTTGATAGGTCAAATCTGCTTTTTGATAATTGATTACATTCAGGTCTCTAAAACCTTCAAGCACTCATCATTGTGTTTTTTCTTAAATATGATGGTATTTCTAAAGCACAGACCACATGATCAGAGCCATGTTACAAATTTATACTTGGTTAACCCCACTGGCAATGCTATATGATTTAATCTGGTTAACTAGCATGGCTACTCTCCAGTATTCTAATATGATTACCTAAGGATGGATGACTACTATCCTCTGGAATTCCAACCACCCGAGTCATGGAACATAATCTCACTTCCCCCAAATCAAGCCAATGGCCTTAGATGTGTCACCTGATACATCTTTTCTCCTTTACTATCTTACATCTAGTGGATTAATTCATTCTTCATTCAAAGAGGAAGCATGCACATCCAACTTTTGATGAAAGGAAAAGTTTTATTTAAAAGTATAGCAGCTGACTTTAAGATAATGAACTTATATTTCATACTTTATCTACTTGAGTAAATTAGATAAATAAGGCATAATTATTTGAAATAAGGTATGATTATATGCTTAAAGTTTACATCTCTTTCTAGCCTGACCATGAGCTGAAAAGTAGCTACTGAAGAGTAAAAGGAATAATATAGTGTTAGCAGTAAATGATGTTTGGAGCTCCATCCTTGCCTCCTACACCCTACATGATCCTGATCAGTTCGTTTGACCTCATGTTATCCCTGCAGAAATTGAAGCTCAAGAACATAACCTGTGATTTACAGAATTATGACATTATATGAGAAAGCATTAAAAGTGTTATGATAGTATTGGGCACATGGTAAAGGGGGAAATTTCTTGCTGAGAGAGTAGCCAGGAAGACTGAGGCTACTATCTCCCCCTCCACAGAACTCAGTTCCTACAGCAGAAGTCACTTAGAGAGACACCCCAGAGCCTTGGCTCAGGTTCTGGGGATGGGCTAGAGAAGCATAAAGCAGAGAGCTCTGAATTTCTTATAAAGAAGCTAACTTCAACCAGGCCAGTGTGGTTCAGTGGTTGAGCGTTGACCTATGGACCAGGAGGTCACTATTCGATGCCAGGTCAGGGCACATGACTGGGTTGCAGGCTCAATCCCAACTAGGGGGCATGCAGGAGGCATTCAATCAATGATTCTTTCTCATCATGGATGTTTCTATCTCCCTCTCCCTTTCCCTTCCTCTCTGAAATCAATAATCCTATCTAATAAAAAGGGAATATGCTAATTGACCCTCACATGTCACAAAGATGGCAGTACCCACAGCCATTAAGGAGGGAATATGCTAATTGACTGTCCTGCCCTCAAAGATGGCAGCACCCACAGCCAATAAGGAGGGAATATGCTAATTTAATGCCCTGCCCTCAAAGATGGCGGTGCCCAGTCCCCTCAGCCCCCCAGCCGCCCAGAGCTGGCCCAAGGTGCAGGCAAGCCTTGGATGGTGACTGCCCAGCTGCCCAGGGCTGCCCAAGGCTCAGGTAACCAGGGCTGGCCGAGGCTTGTGCTGCTGGCAGTGGCAGTGGCAGCAGCAGAGGTGTGATGGGGCATCACCTTCCCCGGATCGCCGGGTCGCCTCCCACCCTGAGGGCTTCCGGACTGTGAGAGGGGTCAGGCCGGGCTGAGGAACCCCCCTCCAGTGCATGAATATATATGCACATACATACACACTAGTATAAAAATAAATATTTTAAATAAGCCAACTTCATTTGCAAAGGGATGTGGAGAAGTTCAAGTCCATCTATGCACTAAAAATAATGGAGGTTGTTGTGAAAGGCAAATGGGGGAAGATTGGTAGAATTGGTAGATTCATTGGAGATAGAGTTGGTAGATTCATTGTAAGCCAGCAAGTGGCCAGAGAGAATCCAAAAGGGGGGGAAGAGAAGTCAGGTCATTCCTTGGCTGGAGCTGCATAACTCAGTCTCTACCTTGATTGTCACAAGGCCATCTCCTCTTTTTCCGGGGTCATCTACTCTTCCAAGAACCCTTAGTACTGAATTTGGAGCCTACCCGGGTAATCTAGAATGATCTCATTTTAAGATTCTTTATTGAATTACATCTGCAAATACCCTTTTCCAACATATTGACACAGGTTCCCAGGATTAGGCCCTGGGCATATATTTTTGAGTTTGACCATTCAACCTCCTGCATTCCCTCCTTCCTGAAAGCTATTTGGGACTGAATAGAATGGTACTATCCCAAATCTGCTCTTGTCCTAGCAAACAAAGATATAAGAAATTAATTTAGTTATACTTCCTTGCTTGAATTCATGTTTCAAAATATTATCAGATATAAGCTTAGATAACCTGTGATTCCCTTCTGAGAATTTTGTCATTCCTTCATTTATTCTTTCATCATTGTTCTCTTTCTTTGTTCAGTAAATATTTACCTCTGCATTCCCAGTTCCTAAGACAAAGTTCCTACAGTTAAGGGATCTACAGTATTCCAGGAAATAAGGGTTTGTTGTACCCTCAGGTACCCTACATATTATTCCTTTACAAAAAGCAGTGGCAGAATATTTTCTAAATTCATGGGAAATATTTAAAAGAAGGGATGACTTCTGAATTCACTTTACATAATAAGTAGACTTATCCTGGGTGAAGAAAGGTAGACAAGTCTTTTCGATTGAAGTCAGCCACATATAGAAAGGGCCAGAAGCCTGGAGACCAAGCTGTTAATAAAATAATCAGTGGCTCCAATCGTGAGAACATCCAGAGACCAGCTGGTGGTGACTTCAGGGCAGAAAGTTGAAGCCAATCAGGATGAGTCTTCTATTATAATGAGTATAAGCTATATCACGTGATCATTGGTGAGCCAGTAAAAAAATTCTTGAAATTTACAGTTTTAAAAATTATCAATAAAGCAGAATGCCAAGCACAGTTACTTTTTAAAAATATTTGTCTAAGTATATGAGTGTCCCAGAAATTTACTATGGCAATTTCTTGAAAGCATTAAGAATAAAACAATAAAATAAACAAGAAACTAGTACACCACATCCCCCAAGTATCCTCAAAAAATGTGTTATTATTGTCTCTGTTAAATAAATGTGCATGATTAAAAATTTTGCAACTTATCATAATTTCCAACATGTCATCATTAAATGCTGAAAATTCACTTTTATCTAAATTAACGAAATGATGGCAGTTCAAATTTCCAAGACATTGTAGAGCAATACAACTAATTAATTAAGCTTCTAAGAAAAATTATTCATGTCCTTCGTGACTGGCCCCAAAATGTTTGCCTTTCATCTGATACACAAACATTAAATATAAAGATAATATAATTAGAAACTTGATTAGCATTCATTAACGATTACTTTTCTAAACACCAGAGATGCGACTAAGTGGTCTGGAAGGGAAAGCCCATTTCAGTGGCCACAAGAGTCAGACAGTTTTTACATGTGATGAGAGAGAGACTGACATGGCAGCGAGGATAAACAACTCCTTGACTTTTGCCATTTGAATCGCAGCGACTCCCTGTCACCTCTCTGTCACACAGCCTCATGAACTGCCCATTAATTTTGCCCTTTGATAATCAAAGGTAATGGAATGCTGCCAAGTCTAAGTTACTTGGGAACTGGCTTCTAACTAGCTTCCATGAGCTGCTGTTTTCACAGGCATCGATTGAAATAAACAGCCTCTCCATTTCAGACTATAAGAGAGAGGGGAAAAAAAAATTGGCAAATTTAGATATACTAGTGAGGCTCAATAAATAATCCTTGAGCCTTCCATAAGCAGAAGGGCGGAAGCCATGAGCAGTAAATTCCAGTCAACAGGGCCAGGCAAAATAAGAGAATTTATAATTGTGTTGGGGATGGAGGCACAGTGGAAGTTCATAAAGTGGGAAGACGTGAACTGAGTATGTGATCAGAAAGCTGGCAACTTAGGAAATTTGAAATGAAATGGGTAGGAATTTGAAACATCATGGAAAATCATTTCAGCAGTGGGTGTAGGCTCTCTACTGACTAAAGTTAAAACCTTTTGAGGTATATTTTGCCCATACATGGTTTGATAATTTCTAAATCAGTAGCGATAATTTACCAATTCATAGGATATTAGCATCC